AGAACCCTTATTTCTACAACAGATTCCTTATGAGTTTTCCTTTCCTTTTTGCTATTGGATCCCAACAACATTACTGTTTGGACCAATTCTTCAGATTTACCAGACAACTCCCATGACACTCTTCCCTTGGACCACGGTTAATAAACATGTATGGCATGACCAAGATAAAGCATTCCTCATAAATTGGCGGTTGGATTAGATGGAGCTCGTGCAGGAAGCCAACTTGTTTCTTAGTGTGCAAGAGAGAGCAAGACTCTTGCTCTAACCCTAACCCTATCCCTAACCTTAACCTTCCTTACAATCATGTCCAAGAGAGTTGGACCTTCCATTTCATCCCTGTGATTTAAGTCAACAGAATTCAATATTGATTTGGCCTTACACAGTATTTATCTTACAGATATGCTAGATAGAAAACAATGACATTGGCTCTATTAATTCTTCACTTTTTACTTCCTTATGCAGAGGCTTCTTAAAAAGCAGAATACTCAGTGGACAAACAATTGTAGACAATTATTGCCTCTGGAAAGTAGATAACAGTTCCCTTTGGGCAAGTTGGGTCTTCCATGTATGAAAGTTGTTAGGATGCAGAAAAGGTTGACCTCTGCAATGAGGGAGACTTGCTTCAAAACCCTTCTCTGCCACTTGCTTACTGTCTGGCTTTGGACAGGGGTTATAGATTTTATCATAGTTTTGCATTTGTCAGATGGAGATTAATATAATTTCTTCCTCAGAAAGTTGCTGGATTAAATGAAAGAATCCACACATAACACAGTACATTTAGTACCCAACAGGGTCGGTTTTCTTAGCAGAGAGAATGTTGGTCAGACTCTCTCATGCACTTGCCTCCCAGACAGGAAGTGAGTGTAAGTGTGAAATGAACAAGTTGAGGAGAAATGTCTGCTGGGAGCTCCCACTCAGGTCGGAGCTTTGAAAGTTCATGAGAGGATCCTTATTATCGTCTCACTGCTTAGGCTCAAAACTATGCTTTGCCATGTTTTCTGGACCTTAATACCTAAAGAAAAATATAACCTTTCCATAGTAAAATTAAAGAGTCACTGACTTCCTTTTGAGTAAATTTGTGTAGGATCCTGTGATTTTATATTCAACCTGCATTTCATACTCTATATACATATGTATTGATACTTAAAAGCAGAAAGAAATACAGATTTCCCTAATGGTGCAAAACCTTTTACTAATTTTCATATTTGGCTTTTGGTCTAACTTCATGAAAGTCTCCTTCATTTTGATGCATCTCTTCCCCGCCCCAGAGTATTAAGCTCATTTAAAAAAAAAAAAAATAAGGGTTGTGGCATCAGATGGCACTCCCATGAGCAGCGCATAAGGGTTCCCTTTTCTCCACATCCTCACCTGTTTGTTTTACTTTGCTGTTTTCATATTTCTTTTGAATCTCTGATTATGGGTCATTGCTTATTTTTGTAACTAACAAATGTAGACTTCCTCTGGAATGATAACAATGCAAAAACAGCTGCTACCGAAAGAAGAAAAGTAGAAGAAAAGGAGGGACATAAAGTCAAGAGAAGGAATCCCAGGGAAGCTTGGGAAAGAGCTGTTGCCCCAGGAGCTGTGGGTTACCTGCTAATTTCTGCTCCCAGAGGTCTCCTCTCCCTAACCTTCAAGCTTCCTGCATGCTACACTCTCTTTGCTCTCCGCTTCCTATTATTCAAGCCCTACACTGGCCCAAAGGCTTTCTATAGTTAATTTTCGGTGGATGAGAAAATAGTGATGATTTCTCCCAAACTTCACCTGAACCTCACACCTTGCCTCCCAGCTTTTATGCTTTCTCCAGGCCTCTGCAAAAGAAACTTTTGGGCCAACTGGTCACAGGCACCCAGAGTACTTCAATCTCTTCAGTAAAAGCGCTATATGTTTCATTAATGCCATTGGTTTTTAAAAAATTAACTCCATTTCCATTCAAGAATTTTTCTAATGCATTGTTTTCATGAAGCCAAATAATGAAATTCAAAAAGAAGTTTCTTCTTGAACCCACTTAAATCAATTGCTTTAATAACATCCCTTTACTAAGTTATGCTTTTTAGGAGACAAAGATGTTTGTTGTTTTCCTGCTTCTGATGTAAGTTAAAGACTTACAAATAGTTGTTAATGGTGTTTGAGTAAGAAGACTTTGTTATAATGATATATGTCAAATATGTAGCTATAAATTTTTCTTGTTGCCACTTTATAAATTCTAAATATTATTGTGGTTCAGGCAGGAGAAAACTTAGCTTTGTCCCAAAAGGTTTATATTAGGAACATGATTCTGGTGTTCATTTTGTTAAGGGATGAGTTCAGTTGCACAAATCTAGAGATTTTATGTTAACTTTGGAATTCCACATGGTTCTATAGCCAGCTGGCCTTGGATCCAATTCAGTTATCCCATCTTCTGGCTTGAAAAACAGTTGGCTTTGAGAGACAGAGAAGAGTGAATCAAAGTAATTTTTGGTTCAACTGATTATTAACTTTTCTTCTGAAGCTTAATATAAATTAATTTTCTTAGAATTTATGTAACTCAACATGTACTGCATACAACACTATCGGAGACCAAACACTAAGTTTCTTTGAGGTGTCAGAAGAATACACTTTCTGCTTAGTGTTTATATCTGCCCAGGTAAATTTGTTTCTGGTTCTATTATTTCCTCAATTTGGCCCTCTTGATAAGGACGATCAAATGTCTGAATATTTGAAGATCTGTGTGGTCTCTTACTAAAGTTATAAGTTTATAAGCCTGCTGTCTTTGGCTGGTTCCTGGTAAGCATTTGAAGAATGAGATGTTAATCCAATCAGGTGCCTGTTTATACAATGACTTTTATCATATATCTAAAGATGGAGAACTGAGTTTTATGAGACAAACACTTCTTATAAAATCCCCAGTCCACTCTATTCTAATTGGGTCAGATCCTTATGCTAAATGAAGAACAAAGAGTTCTGTGATTCAAACATTTCACTACATGTTGCCCTTTGTAAACAGGAAAATAGAGATTTAAGGAGAGACTCAGTTAGAGGGTGGAATATATACCCCCCATCACTTTTTTTTTTTCCGAATGGGAAGCACATTTAAAAATAGTAACCTATCATCTGCTTAGTCTAAATTCAGGATATGTTCCCAAGAAGTATAAGAATTTAGACTTATATAAATGGACTCCTTTGTAAAAACATGCCAGTGTTTAGTCATATGTGAAGTTTAATATTCTGCATGCTATACACCAGATTTTTTTTTTTATGGATAAAGAAGTACAAGTGATTTCTAAATTTTGCAGCAGAAACTTCATGTAGGCCAGTGTTTCCCAAACTTTTGACATATGTGTATCCCTTCTATAATTTTCGTAATGCTGAATACCCCTCGTACTCATGAGAACGTAGAATTAGGCACAGCTAAGCACGGTGCAGTGCATACCCCCTCCAAACTCCGGTGCAATGAGTATCCCCACCAAACTCTTCCCGTACCCCTAGGGATACGCGTACCGCACTTTGGGAAACACTGATGTAGGCAATTAGATAATGCACCCAGAGCTCCCAAAAGAGGGCTGACTAGGAATTTATATTTGTGAGTCATCTGCCTTTAATGACAGTGGAAACCATAACTGTGGAATAGATTATTTCATTGGAGAGTATTAAGTAGTAAAAGGAGAAGAGGGCCTGATATTGAGCCTTGTGCAAGTTTGGCTTCACATTGGGTGGTGAATCTGCAAACAACATGAGGGAAACCACAGCTTGAGAGGTCTGGGAGAGTTTTCTTATTATTTATTTATTTATTTATTTATTTATTTATCTATCTATCTATTTATTTATGATGGAAGCCAAAGGAAAAGAAAAAAAATGTTTCAGGAGGAAGGGAGGAACCATTTGAAGCTTCTTATAAAGTATAATGTTGACTGAAAATACCTTTTTAATTAAGCAGTGACTGTCATTGGTGATATCAGAGCAGCTGCTTTTGTGGGCCAACTAAGGTGGAAAACAGATTGGCCTGGGTTGAGCTATGCAGGAGAGAGGAGGAAACAGGATTTCTGGAGTGTAGACATCTCGGAGGATTTGAACTGCCAAAGAGGGACAGAATATAAGATGGAAGTTCGACAGTGATGTGGGATCAAGGGAGACCTTTTTGTGGGACAGACTTGCATGTGATTTTATCCAATGAGAAAGAAGCATTTGAACAAGAGAGATTAAAAAACCAAGAAAGTAAAGAAAGGGGATTAATATTATAATAAAGTAATAGTAATAACAAAAATAGTATTTATTGAGTTCTCATCGTATCTGGGACACTGTGTTATGTGTTCTGACATTGAATTCTTAGAATAATGTTATGTGGTGGGTACCATTCTTTTCTGTAGGTTAAAGAGAAGGAAAAGGAGACTTGGACATGGTTACTGGCTTGTTTAGTGCCCTCCTACGAGTAAGTGATGGACTAACTTTCCAACTGAAGGACTGAACTGTGCCAATGCCCAGCTCACCACCCCAACTTAAATTTAGGTATCCAGGCTTCATTTGAATACCTACTTAAAGATTCTTTAAGTTGTGTTTAAGAATGCCACTTTGAAACTCTCTGAAAGAAAGTTTTATTTTGATTAAAACAAACAAAAAACAAAACTAAATTAAAAACAAACAAAAAACAAAAAAACAAACAAAAAAACAAACAAAAAACAAAACTAAATTAAAAACAAAACAAAAGAAAAAAAAAGACTTTATCTGCTGAGACTATCTAACCTTGTAAGTATATGTAAAGCATCATGCCCCCAAATATAAGCTGTGTGATCTGAAGGTGAGTTGCCCAAAAAACTCTCAAAGTACTTGGCTGAGGCAGAAATTAAGGATTTTTTTTTTTAAACACTTACAAAAGGACTTAAAAAGGATGATGGACTGAGATAACAACATAATAAGGTCAAGCAAGTGATATGAAAACATCCTCCAGACAGCTTCACTTGTAGATTATGACTGGCTACATTTTCTGAAAAAAAAAATTAATTCTGTCCTCTTGCTTTTAATAGGACATAATGACTACATGTGTCCGGCTACCAACCAATGCACAATTGATAAAAACAGGAGGAAGAGCTGTCAAGCCTGCCGACTACGCAAGTGCTACGAAGTCGGCATGATGAAAGGTGGTAGGTACCTTCGACACAGGGTGCTACTCGCAATAGATGTCTATGTCTATGTTTATTCCAATAACTGGGAGTTTAGTGTTTTCTTTTTTAATTCATTTTTTTCCTATTCTTATTTTTCTTTGCAACAAAAGTATTTCAATAATACATTTTATTTAAAAAATAGGAAACAGTTGGAACTGGAAATGCTGTGTTTCATAAAACCATTTAGTGTTTTATAGTTTAAATGTAAATAATTGATATTTTAAAGAAAGGTGTATGGGAGATGGTGTAGAAGGAAAGAAAGACTGCTCAGGGAGTTATCCTAGAAAGATTTTTTCCATACTGTTTATATTGCTAATGCTAGAAAATTATATTGGAGAATAAACTTTTGTAAACTGAGACTTGTAAATGTGAAAGCTAAATAGGTAATTAATAATCTTAACATGTTTTAGAAATTTGAATTTCCATCAAAAGGCAGCTTTTTCCTTTCGAAGTTGAGTTATTCACCAACTTGCATAATCTCAGCATCTAGAGTTGGGAGCCTTGAAATGAGGACTGACCAAACACAAGGCCATCAGGATTTGCATCTGCGTGCTTGTGTCTTAGTGGCTGTGGGTGTTGTGTATGTGTGGTTTTCTGTCCCCTCCTGTCTCCAATCTTCCAGTGTTTTGTGTTGTGTGTGTGTGTTTAAGGAATCCAGTGCTGATTGACCTTGCATTTTAGGAATCTAGTCTTAAAGAACAGTGTTTGTAGTCTAGTCTTGCATAGCTTTCAAAATAGAGGGAAAGAACAAATAGGAAGTTTATAAATTAAAAAAGTCATGGGTGCATTTAGCATTTCAGGATGATACCAAGGGTGGCAGATGGACAATGGGCTCCCTGCTGATCACAATGGGAGAAAAGCTCTCTGAATGAGACTAGACTTGGGATAAGTTAAGGACAACAAAGTTGCAATGAAAAAGAATAGTGACTATGCAGAGAGAGGGCAGCTAACCCGTTAGCTCATTGTTACTTGGAAGGAGAACAAAAACCAAGGGTGGAAATTAGGAAGAAGGTGTGTATGATTGTTAAGAAACTAACCATCAAAGATTCTTGAGTTCCATTGTCAGAAACCTGCCGGGTTGAGGTTGTGAATACAGCATTTGCAATCAGTTCTCCTGAGGAACAGATGAAATGTTATGTGAGGTGTGACTATAAGTCTTGAATGTCTGAGAAAGCAGCTTGAATTTAAAGGGTAATTAATCTTAAGAATTTAACAGCCCCATTAAGAAAATGATACTTTGAGTCATAAATGGATTAAACATTTAAGGAATTCATCTTGCTTTGTATAGCTGGAGAATTAGTCAGGCTTAATTAAACTCACAAATAGCTTTTTAAGGTAACTTGATAAGTGACAGGAATATAATAGCTACTCATAAAAAGTTCAATTTGAAACAGTGGGGTTTAGGTTGAATATTCTTTGGTGCTAGGAGGTAGATTAAGCCCAGACTGGTCTATTCTCTCTGAAAGCTGAAATAATCAATGTGTGAATATGTCAAAACATTTTTTTTCTTTTAGGGGACCCATACATTGATCCCACTTCATAAAAAATTCTGTTTTTCCTAATTAATACTCTGGTATAGGCTGGCTGCATAAGTATAAATTATGAATACTCATTTTTAATTTAACAAAAATTTTAATATGCAAAGACATAATAAAAAGTCTTCCCATTGTTTTTAAATAGAACTCTAGATAATTTAACTGCACAAAGCCAGTCTGTGGGTCTATACATATCATTGTATTAATAAATGTATTTTATATCTGTAAAATATCTATCTAATTAGTTTGCTAACATTTTAGTCTACTTGATCTATCATCTGGGCAGCTTAAACACAGAAATTAATTTTTTCTAAACATCAATAAAAATATTGAATCTCTACCCATGACATCAAGTCTTTAGTTTCAGATAAAAGCAAGAACCACATACCTACCCCCAACTTAATGGCAAGGCTGAATAAATTCACTGAAGTGCCCTAGGGTTTGTTAGAGTGCCTGATTTTCTTACAGGAAGACATTGTTTTAATCTGTTAGGATGCCTACCAATGAGCCTGACTCTGATAATCCCTTTTCATAGTGCGATTTGTTTCATCCACACATCCCACAGCACTCTCAACGACTCAACCCTTCTCTACTTCTTTATTTCTCTATGGCATTTCCACTCTTCAAGACACTGTGTCATTAATTTTTAGATTATGTTTATAGCTTGATGTCTGTAAGATCCATATGGGAGGTTACACACAAATAAAACATGCTCCCACATTTTGTTCAGTGATGTACTGCAAGCCCTTAGATCAGTGCCTGTGTGTAATAGACAGTTGACACCAGACGTGGCATGAACTAACAGAATGAGTGAGCAAGAGTAGAAGTACACTGTAAGTGCTAAATTATGAGTAATAGATTGAAAATCATGAGTCCTATTTTTTCTGATTAAGAGAAAATATCTGGGAGTTAAAACTTGTATAGCAGTTAGCTTTCGCTGCATACCAGCGCCTCACCTCAAAATCTTAATGGTGTACAACAGTAAGGATGTTATTCATATGCCAGGGGATCAGCTGGGAGGCTGCTGAGATTGGCGGGGCTCGCTCACATGTCTGAGGTCAGCTGACTGCTGGTTCAGCCAGAGTGGCTGAGATGACTGTTTGGCTTCTCATCCAGCAGGCTAGTCCAGGCACGTTCCCATGATAATGCCAGAGGCACCAAGAGAGCAAGCCCCGAATCACAAGCCCATTTCAATCAAGCCGTTGCTCACATTACCTGGTGATGTGCAGTGGGCCAGAACAGGCCAAGTGGCTGAGTTCTCAGTCTGTGTGAGAAGGGTCTTCAGAGTTAGGTGGCAAGGGTTGAAAAATTGGGACGATTTTATAATCTATGACAACCCGAAATATCCACTTTTCAGATTTTGGACTAAAAAGTTTATAGACAGAGTGCCATAGGCTCTTACATGTAGAAGGGAACTCTGGCTTCATTTACTATAGGAATCTTCTATGTAGTATTCTGGCAGCTTCTGTTGGAGTGCTGAATACAAATATTTGCTTTTATTTTCATGCCTCTCTCATATAGATGATGTAAGGCAGGAAAACCTAGGAGTAGATGTGGGTCAGTGCTTCTGGAAAAATCCAGGCTGGTTTCAGAGATGCTGGATTTCACTGAGCTATCTAGATGTGGGCTCTGTGTATGCACATGTATGTTGCAATGGCTGAGGAATGCACATTAAAACACAATCAACTGTAAGGCTACTTTATGTTCACTGCGTACACAAAATTAACCAGCAGGCATCGGTAATCATGCTTTTATTTTTATTTGTTATGGTTAGAATCTTGATTTAATTTTTGATGCTGAAATAATTTCATTGCTTATGGAGAGGTCGCAGCTTTGGTTCTTGTCCACCTTTTTGTGTTTCAGCTCATTGCTCTTGTCCACTTACTTTTCCAAGAGTGACTGTGTCTCACTTTGACTGATGACAGTTTCTGAAGGCCTGGCAAACATTTCAGAAAGGGTCTTTCTTGTTCCTATCATTTGCTTTTGTGAAAGTAAATTGTTCTTTATTTTCACATGTAAGGACCATTTCTGTGGATAGAACTTAAAAAAATGCAGAACTTTGCTTTTGCCGATGAGGCTCAGTAGATAAGGCCTTGGGCCGAAGACTGAAGGGTCCCAGGTTCAGTTCCGGTCTAGGGCACGCACCTTCGTTGCAGACTCCATCCCTGGCCTTGCTCAGCTCAGGGAAGATGCAGGAGGTAATCAATTGATGTGTCTCTCACATCCATGTTTCTGCCTGTCTCTCCCCCTCCCTTCCACTCTCTCTAAATGTCAATGGAAAAATATCCTTGATTGAGGAGTAACAACAACCAAAAAAAAAAAAAAAGCAGCACTTTGGTGGCAGTAATTGTATGAATGAATTGTGGCTTTTGAATTCTGTAATCCCAAGACTTTATGAATTCTCATGTATTTAATTTTTGTTTCAATGATTGTGGTTGGGATAATAAATGGCGTCTAGAGCTGAAAAGAATGTAAAGGTCACCTTGTCCACCTCTTTGTTTTTCTGCTCATTGTTCTTGTCCAACGTATGCAGCTAGTTAGCAGCTCAGACAAGAAGCCAAGACTCCAAACTCTTGGTTCAGTGCTCTTTTCATTGTATTGTATGACCTAAATGGTTTAGATCATCACGAAAGATAGCAACGTGCGCAAGTAAGATATTCATATCACATAGACACAAATTATGAGTTAGGAAAAATTACTGTGGACACAAAAATATGACTATTAACAAAAACACGAAGCAACACACTTGGCTTAGTTACTCAGCAGAAGTATAAAAAACATTTATATGGAAAGGGTGATGGATAGTTTAAAAAGAATGACTGAATATTTAATTGCTTTATATTGCTTAATTTTTAATATTAAAAAACAGTTTTTTTCCTCTTTAAGCCAAAGGTTTTCACTATATTTAGATAATAATTTCAATAATGTTGTAAAGCCTGTTTTCTTTTTTAATTGTTTAGACTATTCTGGTATTTTTTTAAAAAAAGGCAACTTTGTCCAGTTGAAGGAATCCTGGCTAACGGTCAAGTGTATGAGTCTGGCTCTTCCAAGGGCCCTTGGGCAGAGAACTCAATTTTTGTGAACTCTCTTTTTACATCTGAAAAACATGGGTTTAAAATTCAGTGGTCTCAAAAGCATCTTTCAAATCTTAAATTTTATGTTTTTTTTTTTTTTTTTAAGAATTCAAGATTGTCTCGTCAGAGTATTGTATAAGGTTGATATTTTTTGAAAATTATGTTTTATGATGTAAGTTCAGACTACATAGGGAAAGATCAGAATCTAAAGTTAAAGGTAGTTTCTGAATATAAGAAACCACTTCAGCAGTTATATTTCCAGCCAAATTTGTAGAGCAGCTAGCAACTGCAAACATCTGTTGGAAAGGACAACTATAAATCTATTCTCTGCTTTAATTAGCATGGAAAAAGAATTTCTTCTGAGGGGAGA